AAGCAGGCTCTCCCCATTGAGCAAGGAGTCCAGGGCAGGACTGAGTCCTGCCCTGGACTAGGACCTAGGACCTAGGACCCTGGGAGCATGACCTGAGCTGAAGGCAGATGGCTTGGAGTCCCCAAGATCTTTTTTTAAAAAAGGAAAGAAAATCTAGCAACAAATGGTTAAGAACTAAATCTAAAATGTAATCTAAAAGTAAAAAGTTGAAAATACAAGATTGAAAAATACTAGGCTGACATAAAACACAACAAAAAGCTGTTAGGAAAATACTATCAGGCAAAAATAGATTTATTTTATTTTATTTATTTGAGAGCAGGAGCAGAAGGAGATCGAGAATCTCAGGCAGGCTCCACACACAGAGTGGAGCCCAGCTTGGGGCTAAGTCTCACAACACTATATCATGACCTGAGCTGAAACCAAGAGTTGGACGCTTAACCAACTGACTGAGCCATCCAGGCAGACCTCAGGGAAAAATAGATTTTTAAGGCAAAGCATTATTAAGGATAAAGAGAACCATTGCATAATGATGAAATAATTCACCAGGAGGAAGTAATAAAGTATACAAAGCAAAATTTTACATACTACAAATAAAAGACTACCTACAGATATAGTGAGAGATTTTCACACGTTTTATTCAGAAGCTAATAAATCAGATCATCACTACCACCATCCCCAACAAAAGTAAACATATAAATTTTGTGAACAACACAGTTAACACACTTGATCTTTTAGATGCGTTTAAACTTTAAAAAATAGAACGTAGATGTTTCATTCAAGCACACACGAAACAGAAATTAACCACATACTAAACTACAAAGGGATGGATGATACCACAAATAGGCATATCACATTGGGTACAGTACCTTTCATAGAAAACTTGCTTGGTTTTCCAAGTTTCATTTGAAAGTGGTGTTAGTGGAATAATATTTAAATGAAATAATAGCAAAAACATTTATTGAACACTCAAATGAGCCAGGCACACTGCTGAGTGTTTTGCACGTGTTACTCTGTTTAAATCCCTTCAGCAGCCCTGTGAATTACAAGATACTGTTGTCTTTAGTAGATGAGAGAAGTTAGGCTTAAAAATGTTAATTTGCCCAAGGTCTGCTATTGGGAAAAAAACCTCTCTTTTTTAATATTACACTGCTTTAAACCCCACCTTTTAAAAAACATCTTTGTTATTGTAAAATACAGCCAGGTAGAGAAATTCCTAATAAAACAGACAAAGAGGTTATCGAATCATTATTAAGGCATTGAATTATTTCTAAAGTTGGTATTTTAATACCAACAGGTCAAGGAATAGAACTTTGCTGGCCACTGCAATACCCTTTTGAGTGCCCGTTCCAATTATAATCCTTTTCTTTCCCCCACAAAAAAGCAGTTTTATGATTTTTTTTTGCTTTTTCTTTATAATTTTGATACCAGAGTGTATGTTCTTAAGCAGTATGCTTTAGATTTGCTTATTTCTTCCCCACTGTTTTTCTCATGCAGTTTATTTGTTGAAACTGTTAACAGTCTGACCATTTAGAGTTCCTTACAGGTTTGGCAAAACTTGGTGAGTGCTGTTGTGTTCTTTCATCAGGAGATCAGTTATGTCTGGTTGTTTTTCTTTTTGTGATATTAGGAGCTATTGATTTTCAGCGGTTAAATCCATTATTTCTTCATTTTATTAGTGAAATGTTTCTATAGAGAAACTTCGTGTCAGCTAATACTTGATTACCTCGTGGTTCAATTTATATAAGAGAGGAAGAATAAATGTTTACTTCCTGTTTTTAAAAAATTTTTTTAAGTGTCATTACTCATGGATTTAAATACATTTTTTTCAGTTCATTTATTCTTTTTTTTTTTTTTAAGATTTTATTTATTTATTTGACACAGAGAGATCACAAGTAGACAGAGAGGCAGGCAGAGAGAGAGGGAAGCAGGCTCCCTGCTGAGCAGAGAGCCCGATGCGGGACTCGATCCCAGGACCCTGAGATCATGACCTGAGCCGAAGGCAGCAGCTTAACCCACTGAGCCACCCAGGCGCCCCAGTTCATTTATTCTTACAGATGCTCAAATTATCCCATCTTTGGCCAGTAGGAGCCACTTCAGGTTAGCTTCCTGCGCGCAGGTTAGCTTCCTGCCATCATGGAGTTTACATATTTTAGTAAATATATGTACTTATAAGCATATTTATGTAGCTTCAAAACACACACACTAAACACATTGTGCTGTATGTTTTGGATTTTAATACTATATTAGCAGCAGTTCCTTATCAGTCTGTATAGAACTGCTTTATATTTTGTCTCTTTGTCTAGACCACATAATAGTCTATTGAGTTTATTTAATAGTTACTAATGAACATTTTGATTATTACCCTGCAATATTATAAACAGTACTATAGTAAATATCCTGGTACATAGTACTTTGCCCACATGCGTGAATATAGTTACAGAATCAATTCCCAGAAATGGAAACGCTAAGTAATAATGGCTCTTCCAAATTGCTGTCCTTAAAGCAATTAGAAACTATTTTCCCCTCATATTATCCTTTGATGATATTAGAATGTGATCATACTTTTTGATCTTTGATAGCCTGCTACATAAAAAAATCTCATTGTAGTTTTTATTAGCCTTTAAACTTGATTCTGAGTTGTCTTTTCTTATCCTTGGCCTAATTCTCTATTGAATTATTCATCTTTTCCACACCAATTTATAGGCATGCAGATATAATAAGGAAATTAGTCTTCTATGACATGTATTACAAATATTTTTTCCTTATTATGTTGCTCCTTTAATTATGTTTACAGTGTTCATTTTCTAAGCAGAATTTAAAATTTTTTTTTTAAATTTATTTGACAGAGAATACAAGTAGACAGAGAGGCAGGCAGAGAGAGGAAGGAAAGCAGGCTCCCTGCTAAGCAGAGAGCCCGACGCAGGGCTCGATCCCAGGACCCTGGGATCATGACCTGAGCCGAAAGCAGAGGCTTTAACCCACTGAGCCACCCAGGCGCCCCTCTAAGCAGAATTTTAAAACCTTTTTTATATTACTCAAATCTATTAGCTTTTTTTTTTTTTTTTTTACTATTTATACTTAGAAGAAGAGTTAAAGTACAGTACAAGGAAGGTTTTTTCCCTTAGATTGCCTTTCAGAATTGGCCAGTTTCTTATCCCAGCGTGCCTTCTAATGCTTTAGTGTGTATTTTCTACCAAAAAAAAAAAAAGAAACTCTCCTAAATCACTGTACTACAGCTGTTAAAATCAGAAAATTAACATTGACACATTACTGCCTTCTAATCCTTTGACCCCCATTCAAGTTTCACTGATTGTCCGAAGAGCAACCTTTTAGCAAAAGGATCCAGTTCAGAACCATATTTTGCATTTAGTTGCTTTACCTTTTCTATGTTCTTCATCCTGGAACAGTTCCTTAGACTTTGCTTGACTTTCAAGACTTTGACAGTTTTGAAGGTTAATAAAACAAATTAGAATAAATTTAAGTTTGTCTGAAGTTTCTTCAAATTAGATTTAGGTTATATATCTTTACATTTAGGTTATATAAGCCAGAAGTGATGAGGGCTTCCATTACTCTGTTTAATTATTTGACGAATCCCTCTACTGTATTCAACAAGTCTTCTAGTTCCACCATCCCTTCTTCTTTGTGATGTCCTTCTCTCCCTACTCTTGCTCTGACTCTCCATTTTAGGCCGCTCTCCCACTTACTCACACCCCACAAACTTCTCTTACTCTTCTTGAGCTCCAGCACTTTTTGCCACGTTTGAGTCTACGCGCTGTCTGCATAGATAACCTTTTCGTCCTCCTTGATGTCTGATACCCTGCACTGAGCTGTCCCTCTCTATGGACACTCTCCTCACCCTGCTTTGAATCTGACACTTCTTGCAAAACTACCGTTTCCACCCCCACTTGGACTGTAACCATTGTGGTAGGAAGTCTTCCATTCCTGTCGTCAAGTAAACATGCTCCTCACCTTTTTTTAAATGCCAAGTAAACATGCTCCTCACCTTTTTTTAAATGCCTTCCAAAATTTGTGTTATACGTCTTCTCCACTTTAACACTATAAAAAATAATTTTCATTTTCTTTTATTGATTTGACTTTTTTGTATTTAAATATATGTTCTGGGGCACCTGGGTGGCTCAGTCATTTGGGTGGCTAACTTTTGATTTCAGCAGCTGACTTTTGGTTTCAGCAGCTGGCTTTTGATTTCAGCTCAGGTCGTAATCTTGGGGTCCTAGGATCCAGCCCTGTCTTGGGCTCTGTACTCAGAGTCTGCTTCAGGATTCTCTCTCCCTCTGCCCCTCCCTTTGCTCACTCACTCACTCTCTCTCAAATAAATAAATAAATTTTTTTAAAAATAAATATATATGTATATATATGTTCTACTTTGAAATTTATTGTGAAGTAAGAAATGAAGTCCAGCATTTCTTTGAGATGTTTATCCAGTTGGCTGGTATTTTATTTATTTGACAGAGAGAGAGTACAAGCAGGAGAAGAAGGAAAGGGAGAAGCAGACTCACCACTGAGTAGGGAGCTGAGTAGAAAGCCGCAGGGCTTGATCCCAGGACCCTGGGATCATGACCTGAGCAGAAGGCAGCCGCTTACTGACTGAGCCATGGGTGCACCCCAGTTGGCTGGGATTATATATAAACGTTGTATCTAAGGGCACCTGGGTGATTCAGTTGGTTAAGCATGACCTTCAACTCAGGTCATGATCCCAGAGTCCTGGGATCAAGCCCCACATTGGGCTCCCTGCTGAGTAGGGAGCCAGCTTCTCCCTCTGCCTGCTACTCCTGACCACCACCACCACCCCTGCCCCCCCCCCCCCCCTGTCATTATCTCTTGTTATCTCTCCCCCTCTCTCAGGTTAAACAAAAAAGTTGTATCTACCTCCTCTCCTCCTAAAACATTTATGAAGTTTCTTAAAAGCATATTGCATCTTAGAGTTTTTTGTTTTTTGTTTAAGTGGGTGTCATTTTTCGTGTTGCTTTTGTTTATAACAGATGATGATGTACCTGCAGATATGGTTGCTGAAGAATCAGGTCCTGGTGCACAAAATAGTCCATACCAACTTCGTAGAAAAACTCTTTTGCCAAAAAGAACAGCGTGTCCTACAAAGAGCAGTATGGAGGTAAATTAAAAGTAACTGCTTTTCTTTTAGTAATGAGAGAATTGTTAGAAAGGGAAATGTCACCATTTTTAAAAAAAAGAATGCTATGTATGGTAAAAATATTTGCTTAATTAGTTTTCATTTTGTTTTTGAAGGGTGCCTCAACTTCAACTACAGAAAACTTTGGTCATCGTGCAAAACGTGCAAGAGTATCTGGAAAATCACAAGATCTGTCAGGTATTTCCTTTGAGAACACTAAGGGTTGGATTAAATCTTCTTAATTTTGTTGGATACCAAAAAATTAAATATATTTTAGTGGTGCATTTGGAATTGAGAAGATGATATTATAGAATAAGCATGACAACCCTGACCTCTCACTCTTTTTTGACTTTATTGCTTAAAAGTACATTTTATTAACCAGTTTCTGAAATGGTACATAACAGCTAAAAGAAAGAATACTTAAGTTAGGACAGAAGAACGTTAATGTGTGTGTTATTTATCAAAGCAAAATGTTTATAAAATGATTGTCATCAAAAAATCTATTCATTAGATAAAATGAAAATTATGTTCTTTAAATAGTGAGAAACTTGTTGCTAGCACAACAAATAGATTGTTATATTCTGTTCGCTAATCTCTTTATAGCAGCACCCGCTGAACAGTATCTTCAGGAGAAACTACCAGATGAAGTGGTTCTAAAAATCTTCTCTTACTTGCTGGAACAGGATCTTTGTAGAGCAGCTTGTGTGTGTAAACGCTTCAGTGAGCTCGCTAATGATCCAATTTTGTGGTAAGTGAAATTTTATTTCTTATTATCTTGAGATATATTATTTGCCAATCCAAATGCTAAAAGATGGTAGGGAAGTTGAAATGCGAGTTGGTAGTTATAGTTGGAATAAAATCAGAACGCTTATAAATTCCAAGTTACCTGTTTATCACAATGTAGGTGGTTGATCCAAGCAGCATTTATAAAATAATAAATGAAGTACTTTCTGTGCTACTTATCAGTTGACTAGCGACTGAGTGGTGGGAAATGTTTTTCATTTAAATTTAAGCTTTTTAGAAACAACTATGTCTAATTTAAAACAGGTAATTCAATCTGATAGTTTACTGTGAAAGTAGATTTTGATACATCACTTCTGGAAAATAGCTTGACAAATAGCTTGACAGTTGTATTCATGAACCTTAAAATATGCATGCCCTTTGACCCACATTACTCCACTTTTGGAAATTTTTTTGCCTTACGTACAAATTTTTTATAATAGCATGGTTATTAGTGGGGGAAAATTATAAATAATCTAAATGTCCAGCAATAAGGGAATGTACTAACAATGTAATTTCTACTTGAAGGGTGGTAATAAAGGCATTTAACAATAATTTTTACAGAGTTGTTAGTAACATGGGAAAATGCTGTGTTCTAAAAAAGTTTTTGAAAAGAGCAGAATACAACATTTTAGATGTTATATAATCACAACTCTAATAAATGAAACTATCTATAGATAACAAGACTGGAAGGAAACACTGTTTTGTACAGGAAGTGATAATAGTTCCTGTGACTACATTTCTGAGATTTAATGGTTTTTGATAATAGGATGTAAATGAACTGAAGATACATGAAGAGTTGGGGGCCTGGGTGGCTCAGTTGGTTAAGCAGCTGCCTTCAGCTTAGGTCATGATCCGGGAGTCCGGGGATTGAGTTATGTATCAGGCTCCCAGCTCCTCGGAGAGTCTGCTTCTCCTCCCTCTGACCTTTTCCCCTCTCATGCTCTCTCTCACTGTCTCTCTCAAATAAATAAATAAAATCTTTAAAAATACATATATATGAAGAGTTCAGAGTATTCTATCGAAAGCCATCCTTTTAATAATAACTGTGTATGAGCCTTTCACAGTATGGGTGGCCTTTTTTCCCCCCTAAATAAATTTTGAAGAATTGACACTTTATTTTGGGAATGGACTATTTTTTATTATATGTAGTTACATTGTTTTTAGCAAAAAACTATTTTACAGTTAAAATTTTGGCTTTTTAGATTCTTAAATGTTTTTGAAGCATCAGATAATTTTTTTAGTTGTTTAAAGTGCTTTTTATGAAGAAATCTTTCATTCCTTTCCTCCTACAGGAAACGATTATACATGGAAGTTTTTGAATATACTCGTCCTATGATGCATCCTGAACCTGGCAAATTCTACCAGATTAATCCAGAAGAATATGAACACCCAAATCCCTGGAAAGAGAGTTTCCAGCAGTTGGTATGAAGTATAAATAGAAAATACTGATTTATATTCATAAATAAAAGTTTCTTTTAAAAAAAATGAATTTAAACTCAAGAATAAGTTTCAGGCCAGTGAAAATAGTTACCAGTCAACAAAATGTTCAACAATTCTTTCACTACTAATGTATTTATTAATAATTTAAGCAGTGGCAGTAAGCATCAGTAGCCTGAGAGCAGTTAGACTTTTTATGGGTCTGTTTGAACCTTTTCTTAAATTATTAGTGTTCAGTAGTTGTTTTAATTTTTATATGGTCCTTTATGAGTAGTTCTCAACTGGGGGTGATTTTGCTCCACAGGGGACATTTGGCAATGTCTGGAGACATTTTTGGTTGTCACAACTGGAGAAGAGGATTCTACTGGTATCTAGTGGGTAGAGGCCAGGGATGCTGCTAAACATCTTACAGTGATGCACAGAACAGCCCCCAACAAAGAATTACTGTCCCAAAATATCAGTAGTGCTGAGATTAACAAACTTTATCCTTTCTTACTGGATATTAAAGTCATAAGCTGTTTCAGATTTTAAATTGCACTATGCAACAGAATATTAGAATAATTGATAATTGTTTTCAATATTTAATAAAAAATATACAGTATTAATTTAGAATATGTTTACATTAGTAGTCAATGTTTGTTTCTGGTTTTTTTGTTTTTTGTTTTTGTTTTTGTTTTTGTTTTGACATTTTAGTATAAAGGTGCACATGTAAAGCCAGGATTTGCTGAACATTTCTACAGTAATCCTGCAAGATATAAAGGAAGAGAAAATATGTTGGTATGTTTGATTTGTATTTTTATAAGACTTAAAATGGTAATCTTTCAGTTCTGTACTGACACTTTTATTTTTTTCTAGTATTATGATACAATTGAAGATGCCCTTGGTGGGGTACAAGAAGCTCATTTTGATGGACTTATCTTTGTTCATTCTGGAATATACACTGATGAATGGATATATATTGAATCTCCAATCACCATGATTGGTGCAGGTATACTGAAATGCATTGTCATTAAAATTTTAATGTATTTTTTACATGATGGGTTTTTTAAATGGGCTTAAAATCCAGGTGAACATTGATAATAGCTTTATGGTTAAAAAAGAATAGGACTATTACCTCTTGCAGTGAAAACATGAGGGTTCAAAAAAAGTGAGGGTTCAGAAATTACAGATGTATCTTATTTTTTTTTCTTTTTGTTTTGAGAGAGAGAGAGATGGTTGGGGGGGTAGAGGGAGAGAGAGAGAATCTGAAGTAGGGGATTGATCTCACAACCCTAAGATCATGACCTGAGCCAAAATCAAGAGTTGGACGCCTGACTGAAGCACCCAGACACCTCAGTTTCTTTTTGTTTTTTTAACATGTGTATCTTGATGTCTGTAGTTTGTCCAATGCCTTAGTTATTCAGTAAGGAAAGAAAGTTACTTGTTTTATCTGTCATTTGAAAATAAATATGGTTACTGTTTCTATTGCTGTTTTTAATGAAACAGATGTCCTTGGTAAATTTTTTCATAGTGGCTCAAAGCTTTTTTTTTTTTTTTTTTTTTTTTAAGATTTTATTTATTTACTTGACAGAGATCACAAGTAGGCAGAGAGGCAGGCAGAGAGAGGGGGAAGCAGGCTCCACGCCTAGCAGAGAGCCTGATGTGGGGCACGATCCCAGGACCCTGAGATCATGACCTGAGCCAAAGGCAGAGGCCCAACCCACTGAGCCACCCAGGCACCCCTCAAAGCTATTTTTGTAGTCAAGTTTCTAAGAATAAATGTAATGAAATAGTTGTTGAGCACTGATCAGTCATTTCAAGATTTGTATTGATTTTTTTAAGGACACAGTATGTGGACCATTTTAAGATAGCTAGTAATTATTATTTGCTATTAAAATTTGCATTTACTGCCCCTTCTGCTTCCTTCCCCCATTTCCACCACAGAGAAAAGGGAAAAAGGGTATAGAAAATCTTGCTTAGTGATTTGTAGTATCAAATTTCCAAATCAATTATCAGATTTCCAAATCAAGGCCAGTATTGAAAATAAGTTGAAATTAGGATATTTCTCTCTTTCTCTACCCACTCATCTTTTTCTGGTGCTGCTGGAAGTGATTTTGTTTCCATAAGAAACCATTTTTTATTATGTCATTGTATTTGATAAAAAATACTATTAGAAGTTTAAACATTATTAGAAGTATTGTTGGGGTGCCTGGGTGCCTCAGTGGGTTAAGCCTCTGCCTTTGACTCGGGTCATGATCCCAGATCGAGCCCTGCATCAGGCTCTCTGCTCAGCGGGGAGCCTGCTTCCCCACTCTCTCTCTGCCTGCTGCTCTGCCTACTTGTGCTCTCTATCTCTCTGTTAAATAAATAAATAAAATCTTTAAAAATATATAGTTATACATGAATTTGAGTATAATGGTAGTCAAAGAATACCCACATTAAATATGACTGCCTGTAGTGAAGCCAGTGAAACATAGTTACCTCATAAAATGGTCATTATTCTTACCTACTCAGTACTAATTATTTTTTAAAAGCTCCCTCTTCATATCATGCTAAATAAAACAACGTAGAGAAAGAAATAGCAAGGGATTTCACTTATATGTTGAATCTAGAAATCAAACAACGATGAAAAAGAAACTGACTCATACAGAACATATAGGTGGTTTGCAGGAGGGAGATGGGTGGGCAGATGGGCAAAAAAGGTGAAGGGGATTAAGAAGTGCAAACTTGCAGTTATAAGATAAATGTCACAGGATGAAATGTATAGCATGGGGAATATAATCAGTAATATTATAATAATAGGGTGCCCGGGTGCTTTACTTGGTTGGTGTCTGACTCTTGATTTTGGCTCAGGCCATGATCCTCAGGATCCTTGGGGCTCTGAGCCCAGCAGGGAGTCTGCTTGAGGATTCTCTTCTTCTCTCTGCCCCCTCCCCACTTGCACATGTTCTCTTTCTTTGTCTCTTAAGTAAATAAATCTTTAAAAAATAATAATAAATTTGAATGGTGACAGAGACTTAACCATAGTGAGCATTTTGTAATGTATACAGTTGTCAAGTTGCTATGTTCTACACCTAAAGCTAATATGTCAACTATAGTTCAGTTGAAATTTTTCTTAAAAAATGAAAATAATTCCCCCTCAAAAAAGTACCCAGCCTTAAAAACAATAAAAAAGTTTCTGTATTATTAGTTTTTTTTTTTCTTTTTAAAGATTTTATTTATTTGACAGACAGATCACAAGTAGGCAGAGAAGCAGACAGAGAGAGAGGAGGAAGCAGGCTCCCTCCCTGCTGAGCAGAGCACCTGAGCGGGGCTCAATCCCATACCCTGGGATCATGACCTGAGCAGAAGGCAGAGGCTTTAACCCACTGAGCCATCCAGGCACCCCATGCATTATTAGTTTTATGACAGAGTATTTTTACTGATTAAAAAATTGAATTTTAGGGGTGCTTGGGTGACTCAGTCATTAAGCGGCTCCCTTCGGCTCAGGTCATGATCCCAGGGTTTTGGGATCAAGCCCCACATCCAGCTCTCTGCTCAGCCGGGAGTCTGCATCTCCCTACCCCACTCGTGTTCGTGTGCCCTCTCTCTCACGCTCGCTCACTCTCTCTCTGTCAAATAATTAAATAAAATCTTTCCCCCAAAATTGAATTTTATTTGAATTTCATCTGATAAATAATGTGATTTAAAAAAAAATAAATATGTTTTAAAATATCTTCCCCACAGCACCTGGAAAAGTAGCAGATAAAGTTATTATTGAAAACACTAGAGATTCAACCTTCGTCTTTATGGAAGGTTCTGAGGATGCTTATGTTGGATATATGACAATAAGGGTAAGGAATTTTAAGAGTTAGAATATATATGTTGAGACCATTTAAGGCAGTGGTTCATACAGAGTTTCAAACAAAATTTCTACTTTTCAGTTTAATCCTGACGACAAATCTGCTCAACACCATAATGCACACCACTGCTTAGAGATTACGGTAAACTGTAGCCCTATTATTGATCACTGTATTATCCGAAGTACATGTACAGGTTAGTGTGTTTCCCTTATGTTTTATTATAAAATGAGTCATTGTGTTGTTGCCCAGTAGGTTTTTAAATAAATAATTTTTCTTACAGTTGGCTCTGCAGTATGTGTTAGTGGTCAAGGAGCATGTCCCACTATCAAACACTGTAACATCAGTGACTGTGAAAATGTTGGACTTTATATAACAGATCATGCACAGGTATTTTTAACTTTTATGGGTTTTTTCTTTCTAAAAGTTTTTTTTAAGTTCTGCTAATACCTACTTCTGATTAATTGTTGTAGGGAATATATGAGGATAATGAAATTTCCAATAATGCTTTAGCTGGGATTTGGGTTAAAAATCATGGAAACCCAATTATTAGACGGAATCATATCCATCATGGACGTGATGTTGGTGTGTTCACATTTGATCATGGCATGGTAAGAACATTTATTCTTAATAGAAAAACGGACTTAATATCAGTTTAATTTCTTCTTTCTTTTGTCCTTTTTTATTAAAAGATAATTATTTTTAAGTAATCTCTGGATACCTGTTGGGGGGCTCCAACTCAAAATCCAGAGATCAAGAGTCACATGTTCTACCACCTAAGCCAGCCAAGTGCTCCTTATCAGTTAAATTTCAAATAAGTTGCTGGATTTTCTCATCACCAAACTAGGTGAATTAAAAAATATAGGTTTAAAAGAAATTTCAGCACATTTTAAAATCAATATGCAATATTCTGTAAATTCATGAATCTAATATTATGTGCATGTAGAGAAGATGGAGTCCTTAGGGGATTGGTGTAATCTTTGACGGCAGTAAAATCTAATCCAGTAGTTCTCAAATGTCATTGTGCATGAAAGTCACCCAGATTAGGGGTACCTGAGTGGCTCAGTCAGTTAAGTATCTACCTTCATCTTAGGTCGTGATCCCAGGGTCCTGGGATGGAGCCCCATGTCAGGCTCTCTGCTCAGCAGGGAGCTACTTCTCCCTCTCCCTGTTCCTGCTGCTCCCCCTGCTTGTGCTTCTCTCTTTCTCTTCTTTCTCTGTCAAATAAATGAATGAAATCTTGAGGGATAAAAAAATCACCCAGATTGAGTAAATATAATGTAATATAATATAATGGGGACCAGGATATGCATCTTTAATAAGCACCATAATTGAGTTGAATGCAGGCTGTTTTGTAGGCTACAGTTTGAGAATTAATGGTTTCATTATAAGTTTGACTTCCGTTTTATTCCTCTTAAAATTTTTTTTGGCAGAATTTTAGTAAGAGATATAATGGTAATATCGGTTCTAAAACTCAACACAGTGATTAATTAGGCATGTTTATGGATGATACTATATTTTAAGTACTATTATGTCATTTTACACAAGTTTCAAGAGATGCAACTTTTTTAGCTCTTTTAGGCCACTATTTCAAAATAATGCTCTTTGGCGTCTGTTCAGGTATTCTTTTCATTTAATGGCTAATTTTCATTGAGGCAATTTTCAAGTCCTATTACAACTTCGGCAACATATTTTGTTAAGGAGTTAGAGATGGGCAAGGAGGTGATGGTGTGGTGGCCAGACAGGATTGTGCTGAAGTTTTGGGGTTTTTTGGGTTTTTGTTTTGTTTTGTTTTTGTTTTTTAATTCTTTTTTTTTTTTTTAACTTTTCTGAAACCTCCTTGTGGTGAAGTTTTATTGCTCTTGTATGAATCAGGCAACAGGGGATTGTTGGATTCACATATACAGATTGTCAGTTAATGAAGGAAACTTTTTAATTTTTGTTGTTTGTACCTAAAACCTTAATGTAGAATCCTTTTTTAAAACTAAACTAGACCATGGGGCGCCTGGGTGGCTCAGTGGGTTAAAACCTCTGCCTTTGGCTCAGGTCATGATCCCAGGATCCTGTGATCGAGCCCCGCATCAGGCTCTCTGCTTGGCAGGGAGCCTGCTTCCTTCTCTCTCTCTCTCTGCCTGCCTCTCTGCCTACTTATGATCTCTGTCTGTCAAATAAATAAATAAAATCTTAAAAAAAAAAAAACAAAAACTAAACTAGACCAGGAGGGAGTACTCCTCTATGAGGTTCTGATTAGACCTAAATAGTTTTAACCATCTAGTACCATCATATTCCTGGGGTAATTGCAACCTGAGAAGAACAGTTCACTTAAAATGTAGGCTTGGGGTATGCCTACATTTTATTTGGTTAAGCGTCCAACTCCTGGATTCTGCTCAGGTCATGATCTCAGGGTCATGAAATTGAGCCTACATCAGGCTCTGCACTTAGCACAGAGTCTGCTTAAGATTCTCTCTCTTGGGTGCCTGGTGGCTCAGTCATCAGGTTGTGATCTGGGGATCTTGGGATCAAGTTCTGCATCGGGCTCCCTGCTGCACAGTAACTCTGCGTCTCCCTCTTCCTCTGCTTCTTTCTCTCTCTCTGTCTCTCATGAATAAATAAAATCCTTAAAAAAAAAAAAAAAAGATTCTCTCTCTCCCTCTCCTGCCACTCCCCACCCCCTACGCACACTCATGTGGTCTCTCACTCTTAAAAAAATTTAAAAAGTAGGGGTGGCTGGGTGGCTCAGTGGGTTAAAGCCTTCTGCTCGGGTCATGATCCCAGGGTCCTGGGATCGAGCCCCACATTGGGCTCTCTGCTCAGCGGGGAGCCTGCTTCCTCCTCTCTCTCTGCCTGCCTCTCCACCTACTTGAGATCTCTGTCAAATAAATAAATAAAATCTTAAAAAAATAAAAAAATAAAAAATTTAAAAAGTAGGCTGTAGCTTGGACCTATCAATAAGAAAGCAGAGTGGGGGAAAAATAAATAAATACAATAAAAAGAAAGCAGAGTGGAGATGACCACTTGCCCCCCTTCAGCTGAATTAAAGAAATTGACATTTCATGGCACATTGTACTTCTTTTTTCCCAAGAAATAGGGAGCATGGGTATTATAGTCTGGAAGGCAAAGGTATGGAGGATGTCAAAACATAAGAATCTTGAAAATCTCCCCTCCCTTAGAGGCCTGTATTAGCTATAGTTCCTAATTGGCTCTCTTATTTTGTAATGGCACTATACTATGCTAGTATCTCTTTGCCTGTGTAGCCTTTAGACTTTGCCCCAGAGTATCATATATTTTTTAAAGATTTTATTTATTTATTTGACAGAGAGATTACAAGTAGGCAGAGAGGCAGGCAGTGGTGGGGGAAGAAGCAGGCTCCCCACTGAGCAGAGAGCCCAATGTGGGGCTCAATCCCAGGACCCTGAGATCATGACCTGAGCCAAAGGTTGAGACTTAACCTACTGAGCCACTCAGGCGCCCCCCAGAGTTTCATATTTTTGCATGCCTCTGGTCTCATTGACAAAAGAGATTTGAGGTACCAAGATAATTTTAACCTGAATAAGCATCCTCATTTTTAAAAGACCTGTGGTGATGGTCACTTACAAATTCACCATAATAATTTACTCCTCATCATACACTCCTGATACAGGTTATATATAGATATATATTTAGGTTTACACATCTTTTAAGTTGTTTTTAAACAGCTCTAGGCAATGCTATACATATATACCCCCATTAAGGATTAATAGAGATTTAAAAGCCATTACACATTTGTAAGGGAAGGATGAAAATTCAAATCTAATGTCTAGGGCCTATCATCTATTTTAGTATTGTGACACAACCCTTTAAAATCCTTTGGTAGAATGTTCTTCCCATTTTAGGTATTCTTTTAGCTTGTCTTCTTTGTGTTGACAGCCCATGATTGGTATAACATCACTGAAGATAATCTTTTTAAAATTCTGCTTTGTTTTCTGTAGAACTTCAAAGAATATCAGAATAAACATTTAAAACTAGTTTCTGTACTGTCCACTTTCTTTAAATATATGTATTCTCTGAATTTTTGTTCCTTTTTCTCTCCTGTTGAGATACTTTAAATTTCTAAATTCATAAGAATGAATCATAAAAGATTTTATACTCTTTTAAAGAATTATTTAGGGGCGCCTGGGTGGCTCAGTGGGTTAAGCCGCTGCCTTCGGCTCAGGTCATGATCCCAGAGTCCTGGGATCGAGCCCCGCATGGGGCTCTCTGCTCAGCAGGGAGCCTGCTTCCTCCTCTCTCTGCCTGCCTCTCTGCCTGCTTGTGATCTCTCTGTCAAATAAATAAATAAAATCTTTAAAAAAAAAAAAAAAAATTATTTATGTAAAAATACTACATGCACAAGTATAAAGGACACCTCTAGGACATCACTAGGGCATGACTAGCATTTGTCATTGTTAGCTTCATGTTTAACTTTGAAGTATGAACTTCCCCTGTGAAAAATGAGAAATTAAGCACTTTATATTTCAGCCTGTCTCCATCTCATCACTTATATTCTTAACTTTTTTTTTTTTTTTTTAAGATTTTATTTATTTATTTGACGGAGACACACAGCAAGAGACGGAACACAAGCAGTGGGAGTGGGAGAGGGAGAAGCAGGCTTCCTGCTGAGCAGGGATCCTGATTTGGGGCTCGATCCCAGAACCCTGGGATCATGACCTGAGCCAAAGGCAGACTCTTAACAACTGGACCACCTAGACACCCCTATATTCTTAACTTGTCTTACATAAAGGTTTATAACTTTTACATTCCTATAGTCATTGGTCAGTATTTATTCTGTATTTGTTTACCTTTAGTCCTTTTATAATAATTCCTTCATTGCTGAACTTTTTTATTTTGATTAATTCTTTGTATGGCTGAATTTTCTCATCTAGCCATTTATTATTTGCTTATTTTTAAAAGAATGGTTTACAGGTATTGTAGCTTGGATTCTTGCCACTTGAGAATGGCTATCCATTACTTTTTAACTTGGCTCAATATACATAATTTTTTTTTTTTTAAGATTTTATTTATTTATTTGGGAGAGGGAGAATGAGAGAGAGAGCATGAGTGGAGAAAAGTCAGCAGGAGAGGCGGACTCCCTGCCGAGCAGGGAGCCCGATGTGGGACTCGATCCCAGGACTCCAGGATCGTGACCTGAGCTGAAGGCAGTCGCTTTGACCAACTAAGCCACCCAGGAACCCCAATATACATAATTTTGATTATACTTTTTTCCCCTCTACATTTTGTAGTCATGTTTATATTTCTAGCATTAAATGTGGCTGACAAGGAGATCATTTTGGTTTTTGTCTGAGATTATTTTGTTTTTTTTTTTTTTTCTTTCTAGTGATGATTTGCTTTTCTACTTCAGTATGCATAATGTAGGTTTTTGTTATTGTTGACCTTGTGTTTTCTCGTCCATATGTTCTTTGGAAACTTGGCTGTGTATTGCTTTGTTCTTTAAGTTTTATGTGATTTCCTCAAATCTGTGCCCCTTACTGTGTCTCCATAGTTTTGTCTTGTTTTTTTCCCCCACAGTGTGGTTTTTAATCCCTAATTTTTAATGTATTTTGTTTTACAGAATTTTTCTAACATACGTGAAAAAGAGAATAGTATAGTGAATGAATCCCCATCTTCAACAGCTATCAATTCATGGCCAGTTTTATTTCATCTATACTTAACCACTCTTTACTGTCTTCTCTACTCTCTAGATTGTTTGGAAGCAAATCCTGGACATCATCATCTCATCTGTAAATATTTTAGCATGCATCTTTAAAAGATGGGGATTCTTTCTTTTTTTCTTTCTTTCACATAATGACAATGCCAGTCTCATTCCTAAAAACAATTTTTCTATCAGTGTTCACAAGTTCCCAGAATCTTTGTTTAATATTGAATCTATTGCAGAGTGTTATTTTTGTAAAATATAATTAGAATGCCATAGCAGTGCCAAATTGCTATAAAATTTTGGAGACATTCTAAATTTATGAATTTAACACATGACAGATTGACAGATAACAGATTATCTATACTGAAATGTCGCTGCCTCTCTCTCATTTTCCTTTGCTTTGGATAGTCTCACTTAAATAGGAAGCATAAGTTTTAGAGGTTAAAAATTGCACATTAGTGTACATTTTTGCTCACATTTACTTCTTGTGCCTGTGTTATTTCTCTGAAAATAATACTGTGGGGGTGTTTCCTTTTCATGTTCTGTTCATGCCACTAGATCTGATCACCTTAGAGAAGATCATTAGCTGGGCTTATGAGAACCTTCAGTTACTTGGGGAAAACATTTTATTGGATGACCCCAGAAAAATCATTTCTGTCTCTATCAAAAGATACCAAATTGCTAAGAGCTTCTTCTATATTTAAAATAAGGGCTTGGGACACCTAGGTGGCTCCTGGGTGGCTCAGTCTAAGTGTCTTCCTTCGGCCCAGGTCATAATCTTAGGGTCCCGGGATTGAGCCCAGCATTGGGCTCCTTGCTCAGTAGGGAACTCCTCTCCCTTTTCCTCTGTCCCTTCCCCCTACTGTCTCTCAAATAAATAAAATCTTTTAAAAAAAAAAAAAATCTCTGCTTTTGGAGTTCTGTTAACATACATTGGAATTTTCATGGTTTGCATCTTACAAGGCAGAGTAGAATTCTGTCTATATCCTGCTTACATTTCTGAATTACTGTGACATTTTACACTAAAAGCATCTCTTAAAATGAATACATTTTATTAAAACTTACCTTCAGGTGCCTGGGTGGCTGAGTTGTTAGGCATCTCCCTTCGGCTCAAGGCATGATCCCAGGTTCGAGCCCCACACTGGGCTTCCTACTCCTCGGGAAGCCTGCTTCTCCTCCCACTCCCTCTGCTTTTGTTCCCTCTCACGTTGTCGCACGCACTCACACACTCTCTTTCTCTCTCAAAAATAAATAAATAATATTTTTTTAAAGAATCTTAAAGTAAAATTGCATTAACTGAACTCTTTAAACCCATAACAAGAGATTGGTTTCCTTGTAAAATTATGACTGTTCTATCTGAATGTGGTAAAATGACAGTTGGCAATGTAGGGGCTTCTGGTTTTAAAAGCATGAAGAGTGGGACACCTGGCTGGCTCAGTCGGTGGAGCGTGTGACTCTTTTTTTTTTTTTTTTTAAGATTTTTATTTATTCATGGACAGAGAGAGATCACAAGTAGGCAGAGCAGCAGGCAGAGAGAGGTGGAGGAGGAAGCAGGCTCCCTGCTGAGCAGAGATCCCGATGTGGGACTTGATCCCAGGACCCTGAGATCATGACCTGAGCCCAAGGCAGAGGCCCAACCCTCTGAGCCACCCAGGCGTCCCTGAGCATGTGACTCTTGATCTCAGGGTCATGAGTTTGAGCCCCATGTTGGGAGTAGAGTTTACTTTTTTAAAGAACGAGCATGAAGGAAAGAAAAGGGTTTTTACTGCTTTCTTTCCTTGAATGTTATCTTAAAAGATACAGGTTCCAAACTTTGATGGAATTAAGGAACATTTTTAACCTTTAAATTACAACATGGTAAATGGCTAGTTGCCTATTACCAAGCCAGCCATTACAGATTAGAGCAAATTATAAAACCTTATATTCATGGGGCACCTGGGTGGCTCAGTCAGTTAAGCATCTGCCTTCAGCTCAGGTCATGATTTCAGAGTCCTGGGATTGAGCCCCACATTAGGCTCCATGCTCAGTGGGAAGCCCGCTTCTCCCTATCCTCCCCACTCATGCTCTCTCTCACATTCGCGCACGCTCTCTCTCTCTCTCAGGTAAATAGTAAAATCTTTAAAAACAAAAACAAAAAAAAAAAAAACCTTTATGTTCAGGAAGATAAGTTGGTAAACCTGATGTGAACATAAATATGTTGAGTTGTTTAAACAACTGGTAGCGAGTTTAGAATAGAATTATCAGTAGGGACCTAAGCAAAGGAAAAGAATAAAATAATTACCAACTTTAATAAAAAGTTGTACAGCAAAGAATATATCCTTATATTTTATGACTCAGCTATGAATAGCACACTAATATAACCAAAATTGTGCTATCACTACATTGGAAGGATACAGTGTGAATGCATGTGATAGGAGATAGAGCTAAATTCTTACCTTCCATAATAGAAAATGAATAGACATCACCTAAAACTGCAAACTCAAGATACAGCAATACAAATCTTTACTTAAAAATATAGAGGTGGGACGCCTGGGTGGCTCAGCGGGTTAAGCCTCTGCCTTCGGCTTAGGTCACGATCTCAGGGTCCTGGGATCGAGCCCCACATCAGGCTCTCTGCTCAGCGGGAAGCCTGCTTCCTTCTCTGTCTCTGCCTACCTCTCTGCCTACTTGTGATCTCTGTCTGTCAAATAAAAAAATAAAAATATATAAAAAAAAAATACAGAGGTAGATAAAAAGAGTCAGCCAGAAGAATTGAAAGTGGGGGACTTTGGATAAGGGAAAATGAGGAGAGGAGGCTGCTGTTTGCCTTAGTAAATTTGTGGATCTAGTTGACTCTTTTAACTTACAAAATCAAAACCTAGAGAAAATAGAGCATCCCTACATTTGAATCATTTTTAGTCAATACATAGTGAAGTATACTTGCAGTACTGTGTACTTGCAAAGTATAGTTGCAGTATAGTCAAGACATGACAGTGCCTGTTACTGAAATCATTTTGGAAACCCAATAAGCAGCATACCTTTCCTTGCCACATTCTGAACAGATTATGAAATGAAGCCACTAAGTAGCGTGAGAAGGCTGAAATAATTTTATTACCCTTAAAAGATTAAGTTGGAGATTATAGCCTTGAATAAGAACCAAATGGGTCTGATTCACTGCACCCCAAAATTAAATAAACTTACTACTCCACAAATATTGTAATGGAACCCCACATCAGGCTCCCTGCTCGGTGGGAAGCCTACTTCTTCCTCTCCCACTCCCGCACTTGTTCCCTCTCTCCTCTGTCTTTTTCTGTCTAATAAATAAATACAATTTTTTAAAACAAACAAAAAGATTTGACAGAGCATAAGGAGGAGGAGCAACAGGCAGAGGGACAGGGAGAAGCAGGCTCCCCACAGAACAGGGAGCCCTTGTGGGGCTAGCTCCCAGGACCCTGAGATCATGACCCAAGCTGAAACCACCTGGGTGACTGAGCAACCCAGGCACCCCAGAGTAGCTATTTTTAATGTAATCCATATATGAAGAAGTTCAGATAATTTGTTCTTTGTGGAAAACGAAACCTGAAACTACTTTTGAATATTACTCAGAGGTCTATTTTCTTAAAGAGTTAAATAATGTAGTAAACCAGAGTATCACAATTATATCCTGTTTTTAACCTTCACTAGATTTTGCAGAAAGTAATGAATTCCTGCTTTTGCTATATGCGAAGTCTTGTATAGATACAACAGAACTTAATATAATCCTTTCTATACAGAAGCTTAGGACAGGGAGGATTGGACATGACAAATAAACAAGAACAGTACAAAGCATTACATAGAGGTATCATAAGAAAATACTTAGTACTTGAAGGGAATTTAAAGGAAGGAGAGCATATTCAGTTTTTGAAGGGAAATAGACCAGAAGTTGAAGTGGCTTTTACAAGTGCCATTTTGGGAATATCTTTTTTTTTTTTTCCTTAATATTTAATCTTGATTGGAGGTGCCTGGGTGGCTCAGTCAGCTGAGTGTGTCTGCCTTTGGCTCTGTTCATGATCCCAGAGTCCTGGGATTAAACCCTGGTTGTGCCCCCCTCTTGCTCACTCTTTTGCTCTCTTTGTCAAATAAATCAATCTTTAAAAAAAAAAAATTTAGTCTTGATTGAATCTGAGAATTTAGGATATCAGTATTACTGTAACTTATTATCATTACAAAATAAGTCTGTCCATTATAGAAAATTTAAGAAATTCATAGAAGTATAAAAGATACAAAAGCAATCTATCATATTTCTCAGATAATCACACCTTCATATTTTTGTTTTATTGTTCAAGTTGTATTTTCTTGAAATAAAATTGAGACCATACTTAGTATATACTGTCTTTAAGTATATACTGTTCCTTTTATTTAACACGATAGCATGTAGAGCATGAATACAGGTTAGTCCATTCCCTGTTATTGGGCTAAGGTGAACATTATTTTCTGTGTCTTTTTCTGTAGTCTCTGATTATGTCCTTAGGTCACCTTTTTAGAATTTGTTTTCTTGGGACATTTTTAAATCTCTTAAGAGTTTTTTTTTTTTTTTAAGACAATAAATCTTTGTTAAAGGATGTGTATATTTATTGGGTGATAGTATTTATTTACATTTATTAAATAAATCTTCCCCTCGTTTTCTTCCCTGGCTTTGCATATACTCAGACCAAGAATTGTGGTTCTCTGTTTCACCAAAACATTTTAAATCTCTTTTATTCTTTGTTTATCATTTGAAATTTAGTGTGTATCTGTGTTTTATTTTTAACCTTGAACATTTCTGATACTTAATTTTGAGGCATACAGTAAAAAGGTCATTTTTTTTTTTTTAAATGTCGTTTCTTTTTGGAAAGTAGCCTTACCTTCAGTTTGATTTCTGTATTTTTCAGGGTTACTTTGAAAGTTGCAACATACATAGAAACAGAATAGCAGGATTTGAAGTAAAAGCCTATGCTAACCCCACAGTGGTTCGATGTGAAATTCATCATGGGCAGACTGGAGGAATATATGTGCATGAAAAAGGAAGAGGACAATTCATAGAGAATAAAATCTATGCAAACAACTTTGCAGGTGTATGGATTACCTCAAATAGTGACCCAACAATAAGGTAATTATATATAACTATGGATGGAAATTACTTTTTTACTTTTTATGTTATATGAAAAGTCAACCTTTAACTCTTACTGATTTTCCTAGACACCTGACCACTGTAAAATAGAGCTTCCTAGTAAATGTCTATGCGTCCGAATGAGCAAAGCTGTTGTATTTATTTTTGGGTGTTCTGTTTGTTTTTTAGTGATCTAAGTCATGCATAATATTCTTTTATGAACAGTTGCAAATGTTTTTATGATTTTAAGTTTATCAAACTGCATTATAAATGAGTGTATAGGGCCATGTTCTTTTCTTGGAACCTAAATGACCTTGTCTTCTCTTTTTTTTGTCTGAGAGTCTGCAGATAGCATAACTCAGGAAAGTAATTAACTCAAAGATTCTTGGACAGAGAGATCAAAAGTAACAAAAAGTCAGAACTTCAGGCCATCACTTTTCTTTAGTAGTTCCTACCATTCCCTCTGGCTGCAGTAAGGAAACAAACAGATCCAGTCTGAAAGGCGTTGGCTAAGACTATAGAACCAGAACTATTATAATTTAATCAGTAACAACGAATTATTTTTAATTGCCAAGTTTTATTTTCCACTGGCTTTATGAAAGTAGATTATGAGATTTCCATCTTGTTAGTATTCAGCATATGTGTCTAGACCAGCTAAAAAAAAGTTCTAAATGTATCAGCTATTTTGAGGGGAATTTTTAAGAATGTTACTTTGTCTCAAATACTAGGTGGCTCTTTTAAGTGTTAGGTCTTAGAAAGAAAACAAAGGAATTTAGAAATCATCTAGTCTGAGTCCCTTGTTTTACAGATTAGGAAACTGTGACCCCTAGAAGGTAAATAATTTTTTAAGGTTCCATGAGTATGAGTGACCCTGTAGTTGATTGTGTTAAACAAATAAGCTTTCATTGAATAGAGATTTATTTTTTATTATTTATCATAATTATAGGGGGAATTCTATATTTAATGGAAATCAAGGGGGAGTTTACATCTTTGGTGATGGACGAGGCCTTATTGAAGGAAATGACATTTATGGTAAGAATGTTTTGTTCTATAAAATTTTGGAGCTTGGCCTCTCTTCCTGACATTAGCAAAATATACCACTTTGAAACCCTCCAAGAAGTGGTGATACAATTTCTTTAAATTCTCAGTAAAGATTACTTGTGATGTTTATTTACTTATTAGTCATTATTCACTTAACATTTACTGGGTACCCAGTGTTTACCAGGAACTATACTAGATACCAGTCATGAAAATACAAATAAGACCTTAGTCTGAAGGGAGTATGCAGTTTCCTTAGATTCACTCTTTTTTCACTTTGGTACTAATTGTAAATGTGGGGTTGGGGGTGCCTGGGTGGCTCAGTTGATTAAATGTCTGCCTTTGGCTCAGGTCATGATCCTTGAGTCCCGGGATCAAGCCCCACAGTGAGCTCCGTGCTCAGCGGGGAGTCTGCTTCTCACTCACTCTCAAATAAATAAGTAAAATCTAAAAAAAAAACAAAAAACAAAAAACTATAAAGGGTAAATACCTACTCCTCTTTAAAACTTTTTGAGATACAAATTTAGTAGACCATTAGATGTGTGTGTGCTAGACACGGATATGTTCCTGGGCTTTCTCTTTCACTGCTACTTACCTGGATAGTATTTACATAAACCTTATGAAGTAGACACTGTTAAATATCCCCACTTACTGATCAGGAGACAAAGATACAATGAGGTTAAATAACTTAAAGTCACACAGGAAGGTAGAATTCCTGGGGTTCCTTACTTGGCAGCCTGGCTTCAGAGTCTCTACTCCAAACTATTATGTCTGTACTGCCTACAGTTTTTCTTTTTATACTCCTAGTTCCCTTAGTTTTGTTTTTTAATGCTCTCAAACCATAAATATCTTTCTGAAAATGACATATTTCACAAAATCGTGCTTTTCCTAAAATTCTAAAAATTTTGACGTAATGATGTAAAATTCTTACTGTGTTCCATGAGGCTCCATATGTTGACATTGCAACTTTTATTTTTAAATAGGCAATGCATTAGCAGGAATTCAGATTAGGACAAACAGTTGTCCAATTGTTCGACATAACAAAATTCATGATGGCCAACATGGTGGGATTTATGTGGTAAGTCAATGAATATAATTCTAGAATGTCATGCCTCAAAACCAGAGAGAGAGGATGGAAGAGGATAGGATTATATCTAGCCTTGAGTAGGCCATATTTAGCTTACAGAGTATGAGTTTATGACGGTCTTTAATATTTATACAATAAATAACACTCTTGTTCTCCCTGCCGGTATATGAATGACTTACATAGTATGTGTAGTGTTCTGTAAAATTCAATCAACTGACTGAGTTTAGACATAGAGAATATACCTTTTTTTATTAAAGTCTTTATTATAATTGGTATTATGGGCTGACCTCTCAAAACCATCGATTGGCTGAGTTCTACTTTTACCCTGGAGTTTTGTTGATATGACTATGCTGGGAGTCTGAAATTTTCCAAAAGTAGTAAGTAAATCTATAATATCAATGAAAGTACTAATAATACTAGACTTGAATATTTCTGAATATTTTTGAAAAGTCAGTATTTCATTTGAATTTATACTAAAACATAATTGAGTATCTTACAAGATTTTCAAACCACGTATTGGTCCTATACTTTCTGTTAGACCATGGTGTATCTGGAACTGTTATAACAGATTCAAGTGAGAAAATGTAGGAAATTTCAGAAATTGTGTAATGCCAGGTATGACTCTAATTTTTATTTTCAGTTCCAAATCTCAGTCTTAAGTCTTCTCAAAATAAAAATAAGTATTTTAGTAACCTGAGACCTTATTTTGAATGATTTCACCAGTAATTTGAAATAGCTGTTAGCGGGCTCAGTGCGTTAAAGCCTCTGCCTTCAGCTCAGGTTATGATCTCAGGGTCCTGGGATTGAGCCCTGCATTGGGCTATCTGCTCAGCAGGGAGCCTGCTTCCCCACCCCCCACCCCCCGCTCTCTGTCAAATAAATAAAAATCTTAAAAAAAAAAATAGCTGTTAGCTTACTAAATGAGAGACCTTCAGTTTGTTATATATCTTAGAATGAAATAAGAAGCTTAAAAGTACAAAATCACATAAAGAACAGTATAAAAACTTACAGAGCTTCGGGGCGCCTGGATGGCTCAGTGGGTTAAAGCCTCTGCCTTCCGCTCAGGTCATGATCCCAGGATCCTGGGATCGAGCCCCGCATCGGGCTATCTGCTCGGCAGGGAGCCTGCCTCCCCCTCTCTCTGTGCCTGCCTCTCTGCCTACTTGTGATTTCTGTCTGTCAAATAAATAAACAAAATCTTAAAAAAAAAAAAAACTTACGGAGCTTAAACTCAAGTAAAGGCTACACAAAAGCAATGTTACTACCTCATCCAGGTGAAAAAATAAAAATTGAAATTTTTTTATCATAACTGTTTTTAAAAGGGGGAACATACTATAAACTACTTGTTTCTAAAAGCTATATATTGTATCAATGTAATTTTTATTTAGCATGAGAAAGGACAAGGCGTAATAGAAGAGAATGAAGTTTATAGTAATACTCTGGCTGGGGTCTGGGTGACAACGGGCAGCACTCCAGTACTGAGAAGAAACAGGATACATAGTGGAAAGCAGGTAAAATTATTTTGGATTCTTACATGGGAAATAGATTGTTTTATAAACTTTTTTTGTCATTTGAAAAACAATTTTTTTTAAATTTTAGGTTGGTGTTTATTTTTATGACAATGGACATGGAGTGCTAGAGGACAATGATATCTATAATCATATGTATTCAGGGGTTCAGATAAGGTAAACATTTTTCACATTTGGCTTTCTTTTGGGAGGGAATTCGGTGGGAGTATGTGGGGTATATAAAAGAACTTCCCTTGTTTATTTAATGCTCAATTTTTATTCCTCCTTTTGTATATATATTCATGCTCTTATCACGTGCTTGGCTTAAATTGTCAGAATATAGCTTTTCTTGAACCAGCTGATGGCAGCCAGTGGCACATATGCCTGCCATAGGAACATGTTTGCACTATTCTGTCATCCACTGTAACAGTCATAGTTGCCAGTGTACTCCATCATACTTGGAAAGTAGGCAGCTATATAAAAATACTTGTGAGCTATACCTGGCATGTTGTAGGCACTCAGTAAATGTGAGCTTCTCTTTTTACACTATTTCTGTGAGTATTAGTTTTTTACACCCCTCTTTCCCGTATTTTAACAGTTTTAGAAACTGTAGTAGTACTCATAATTCAACCCTTCATTTTATATATGAGGTGAGTATACAATAATAGTGGTCACTTAATCTAACCTCCTCAGTATAGTTTATATATTAGGAGACTCTATAGTAATAATATAATCTATAGCTAAGTGTATTCTGTTGGAAATAGAATTAAGCAAAATTACACCAGTGTCTTTACTGACAAATTTCTCAGAGCATCTGGAAAGACGCTCCATTGTATACTTATTCTTACTGTGATTAATATAAATTTTTTCACTGTTACCTAACATAACATGGGATATGGGCATAGAAGCAGTTAAGATGGCATTATTTTCTATTGTATCCATAGGACTGGAAGCAACCCCAAAATTAGACGCAACAAAATCTGGGGAGGACAAAATGGTGGAATTCTTGTTTATAATTCTGGTATGTTTAATCTTTCATTTTTTCCTTATTGCTAATTGCCTTTAGAGCTATACTTTCCAAATAACATAACCTAAAATTCTGTACTTGTAGGTCTAGGCTGTATAGAAGACAATGAAATATTTGACAATGCAATGGCTGGAGTCTGGATTAAGACAGATAGTAATCCTACACTAAGAAGAAATAAAATCCATGATGGAAGAGATGGTGGCATCTGTATATTTAATGGGGGTCGAGGTATTGTTGTTAATTTTGCATTAGTAAAAAACCCAATTTTTCATTATTCTTCCTCCGTATCTTTAATGATCAGGGACATTGCCAATTATTATAAGCTTTAAGTGAGTGAATCTCAGTCTTTTTCCTTATCTGGTCTTGAGATAGATTAGATTAGTGCCTGGAGGTAAAGAAGACAGGTGTTTATACAATTTTTCTTTTCTTTTTGTAGCCATCTTGAGTGTGCTAATTGTTAGGCATTTTTAAGGTGGAATTTGTTTACATTTTCTCTCTGGACTTTTATTTAGAATAGTGATATGATTATAATAAACATCAAGGTCCAGTTACAGAACTAGGTTAGAAATTAATTGGCCTGTAACTATATGAAAATGTCTGTAGTAAATAAGTATTGCTTTGTACCTGTTTGCAACTGTTTGTTGGAGAGTGGAATTAATGAAGCCAAGGTGTGTCTGGTTTTGTATACATGAAGGTCAACTCATTTTACATTGAGGCAAAAGTTCCACATCTGCAAATGCATGTTGTTCAGAGAGACTAGGGGGAGAATGTCAAATGGAAATTTATCACTGTTCCTGAAATGTCAGTGACCCAGCACTGTACATCTTATATGGAAGGAATAGCCAGTTACTATTACATCATAATCAATGAAATTTACTACTACAGCCAAGCAGGGATGATTCCATTAATGACATAGACTCTGAAAGAGCTCATAATCTAATAATTCAATAAGATGACATATCTGATAGGAGTCTTTACAAGATATAATGAGGAAACACAATACAGTGGATGGTTTTATTTGTAAGGTATTGAAAAAAGGTTCATGGACTAAAGTAACTCTTAAGCTGTCTTGAAAAATGAGTATTCACTGGTAAATGTGGGGTGGGGAGGCCATTCCCAGTGTAGAAAAAACAATTCACACTTCGTTTGTTTTGTACTTATTTATTAATTGAACACCTCTGTACCAACAACTGATACAGATGCTAAAAATACAATAGTGAATAAAACAGTATAATAAAATACTGTTATATTTTAACAGTATGATAAAACTACATCCCAGAAAGCTATAGAGTCTAATGGCACATTGTAACCAAAAATCTAAAGGAAACCATGTGGTTCTGATTAGTAAGGCGCAAAGAGGTACTGAAAGTTGAGGCTAGAGAAAGGGCAGTGCCCAGATTCTAACTTTGTATACGGAATTCAGACTGGATCTTAGCAAAAGCAAAGATTAGAAGTAGGAAGTTGGAGTAGTCTTTTCCAGGGGAATAGCAGTTTAGAGGTCAAAACTGAACTATCACAGGTGGGTTGAATGTCTACAGAAGTAAAAGTTTCATGTTTTCAGAGCAGAGATGCTCATAAACAACTAATAATTCACTATACATAAGTAGGGTTTATAGGAGTAATATTAGCTAGTTCTTTAATGCAGTGTATGTTTACATGTATTAATTCATTTAATCCTCCTTGAAACCTTGTATGTAGGTGCCATTATGGTCAGATAAGGAACTCAGGGAGGTGGCAGAATCTGTATTTGAAGACCTGAAAAATCTGATTCTTCAGCTCATTTTTAAATCATGTTATTCTCTCAGAAGAGAGAATAATAAATTTGGTGGAGGGAAACTGAAATCTTCCAGAGGAAGTGACATTAGGAAGAAAGAAGGCAGGACATTCCAGGATGAAGAAATAATACAAACCAAAGGCATTAGAGATAAAAATGTGTATCATTTTCAGAGCATAGGTAATGTAGTAAGACAATGGAATAAGTTAGGGGAATATCTTGAAAGGTTTTAAATGGCAACTTAATTTTAAACTTTATTCTGAAAATAGTTTTTAAGCAGAGAAGGAACATGACAGTTGTAGGAAACTGGGAAAAACAGCAGAAGAGAGACTATAGGAAATTATCAAGTAATGATTATAAGAATAATGACCAGAAATAGGGTTTGCATGAAAGCATTGAGGCTGTAATGATTCTAAAAATACTTCAAAGGACCTAATTTTAATTCAGTGTTTGTGAGATATAGGTGCCAGGCAGCCACCAGGAATTTGTGAGTAAACTAGACTGGTTCCTGGTACCATGGAATTTCCATCTATCTGTTAGAATGGTTACCTGCCATTTTAAGCAGTTCTTGGTTAAATCCTACCTTAAACCCCCTCTGAATTACTAATAAACTTTTCAGCTGAGAAATTAGTCCTTTGAGTTTTATACAACAGTCAATAAGAAACTAAAAACCTGAATACCGCCAAACTATTAAAATTTGTTATGTGCATAAGCCTTAATCTGAGGAAATATTTTATTATAGGTCTCCTTGAAGAAAATGATATTTTCAGGAATGCTCAAGCAGGTGTTCTCATCAGCACTAATAGTCATCCAGTCTTAAGGAAAAACAGAATATTTGATGGCTTTGCTGCAGGTTTGTATTTTCTTTTGTTACCTGTAGCTTGTTTTCTATACATTAAAATGTTTGATCTTTAGTATATTAATTCTCTTTTGCTTGATAACTGAAGGGGTGTACTAAGTGTGTTGCAAAAGTGGCTGAATGCCTTGCAATTAACAATGGCTTGTAAGAGCACATAATCCAAGTTCTGGATTATAATGTTCTAAGCCAGGGAGTTTTAAGAAATCTCTCTCTTGCATTCAGTAGTAATTATGAAACCTTAATTGGGATAGAATGCAGGCTTGTACTACCATTTGGAATACAAATAAATTCAAGCCCTCTGGCCTCTCAAACTTTCCAGGTATTGTGCATGTATTTCAACTTTTTGCCAGGGAAGAGGACACTTTTTTTTTCTTCATATGTACAACTAGTGGCTACCTAAACATGTTTCTGGGCAGGCATTATCATCATCTGCTTGCCATGAAAATAAGTAGTAAGTTATGAACCATCTGTAGTAAGTAGTATTCCTTTCTTTAGCAAGGATAGTGGACTGTTAACAGTGGAAAATAAATGTTATTCTCAGTGACTCAAACATTTGCATCTTATTCTTTAGATGTTAAGAAACTATAATGTGATGATGCATCTACTGTTTGTAAATTTTACTTCAGGTATTGAAATTACAAATCATGCAACTGCAACACTAGAAGGCAATCAGATTTTTAACAACCGGTTTGGAGGCTTATTTTTAGCATCTGGTGTTAATGTGACAATGAAAGGTATGTTGGAGTCTGCTCTGCCTACAAATACACAAAATATGCCATTAAAAGATAATGGCATCAGAAGCCATTGCTGTCCCTCTGCCAAGTTAACTACAACTCAGAACTATTTTGAAAGCTTTGACTTGTTCTAAACAGTTGGGAGTATCTTACACCAGGAAAATCCATTTTTCTAGTTTAAGCTTTTTTTACTTAATTGGTTAGCCTCTTCTGAAGGTCTTTAAAAAGTGACTACTGGAATAATCCTATTATCTCTATTTTTATCTTAAGTTTTTGTCCTCTAGAATTTTACTTATTTTGTTCTTTTATTGCAGATAACAAAATAATGAACAATCAAGACGCCATAGAAAAGGCTGTTAGTAGAGGCCAATGTTTATATAAAATATCAAGTTATACCAGCTATCCCATGCATGATTTCTACAGGTATATTTCTAAATTACTTGTGAGTCTTGAAAAAGGGGAGATAGTGATTTTCTAAACTGGCCAAGACATAATATTTTTACATTTTTCTCTTAAAAGTAAACTAAAGGTAGAGAAAATTGGGTATTGGGAAAATTACCAAGGAAAGAGACTATAATTGAGAATTTTGTATTTGTCCATAGAAAGTTCTCTGTGATCAGTCTGCTTGAGACCACAAATATGGAAGAGCAACAGCAACTGTTGCTGTCACTGGAAAGGTGGAACACAATGCTTTTGCTTGGGAGTTTCAAAGTAAAGCTCTAATTAAGTGTCCCATGTACCCCAGTCACTGAGTGGTTCTTGATGCCCTGACCCCAGATTAAGTATTTCTTAAATGAAAGTTTCAGCTGCCTTTTTCTCAGAAGACACAGACCAGGAGATTGATTTGTTAAAGTCCTTTTGCAGAAATTAACCTGGCCTAGAGCTACAAAAATTTTGGTTTTGGTCCTCTTTTCTTGTAAGGTCGTAGGGTAAAATGCAGTATTTGAGGAAGTAACATTTCAAGAAAAATAACGTAAGCTTTTGCTTTTTAGATGTCACACTTGTAACACCACAGATCGAAATGCCATATGTGTGAACTGCATTAAGAAGTGCCATCAGGGACATGATGTAGAATTTATTAGACATGATAGGTATGTAGCACACTTGCTTGCTCTGTTACCCACTTATTCCCCCCCCCCCTCACTTTCCTAATTTTTGGGTTTTCATTTTGCTTTAGGTTTTTCTGTGACTGTGGTGCTGGAACACTGTCTAATCCTTGTACATTAGCTGGTGAGCCTACACATGATACAGATACACTATATGACTCTGCTCCACCTATAGAATCTAATACATTGCAGCACAACTGAATTCCTTCCCTAAAGAGAAAGTCCTGCCATTCTAACATCATAACTTAAAACATTTTTTTCGGAAGAAGATTTAAAATATTTGCCCATGCTACAGGAAGAGACTGTATTAAAAATGGATACACAAGGTCAGTTGACACTATGAAGCTCAAGCTACCAAAAAGAAAGTGGCAATATATTGACTCAGGATCTCAAAGCTGGGTGTTTTAGCATTACTGTGTAAAGACTTTTGAAGGGACAGAAGTGAAGAAATAAGCTGCAATTTTGTACAGATACCAACTTCTGAAAAAAAGCTGGTGTTTTTACAACTAGCATTGAATGCAGTCCAATTTGCAGTAGTACTCTTCAATAGACAAGCAGCTTTGTTGCTGCCTTTATGGACATGGGTACCAATTGCTTTTGTAATATGGTAAAATGTGAGCTAGCACTTCTGCGTTTCTTTTGATTTTTTTAACATGTATTCAGATTGAGAAATATGATTTTAATGCTTTAATCTCATGTAGTTTGTTTTTAATTTCAAGCAAATCTTCTTGTACTTGAATGTGCCCTGTTTTGTTAGCACACCTAGACTTGCTGTAACTGTACTCATGTCCCAGTATGTACGTTCTTTCTATGAAAGAGAAAACACTAATCTTAAATTATATCCAGCAATGTTTCTGGTATCCTTTAAGAAAAGTTAAGACTATTATTTCCTTCCCTTCCCTGTGCAGCATTCAAAATCACCCCTAGAAAAAGTGAGTGTTTTAATGAGACTTCCTAGGAAGGGATGCACTGTAAAACAAAAAGTATTCTTGTAACTCAGTTTTGTGAAAGGTAAAAACTACTATGTTTTAAAGTACACTTTAGAAAGTCTCTTCAAAACAGTCCTGTATTTGAACTCTGTTCATAGTTTTTTTTTGAACAGTTTAGACAAACTGCTGGAAATTAAAAACAATTTCCTGCATTAAGCTGAGACAAGTATATATACAGCCCTATACAGTTTCATAGCCCCCCCCATTTATGTGTATTGGTGACAGTGGGTATAAACAGCCTGAAAGTGTATGCATGTACCATAACATCTAGACTTAATATATTGTGGAGTATTCAATAACCATTATGTAGAAGGTAGATAAGAATTAAAAGGGTTTAATTTCCTAGAAAGAAAATGGAAAAATGGTCATTTTTAAAAAATAAAGTTTATTAGATCATAATGTTGTCTGAATTTACCACCTTTGTCAAAAGCCAACTCAGAGCTTCCAATGTAGTCTAGAATTCCTTAATCAAAGTCAGCAATTTAGGGACAGCTTCAGCATCTAGAGTCGACCTTTCACTAGCCAGGCAAACTTCCCTTAAAATTAAAAAAAAAAAAAAGGTATCAGTTCATGTTTTCCGTAGTGCATGAATAAACCCTCAAGGGGGATGGCGAAGGTCAGCTCCATAGCAAAATTATATGCAAGTAAAATTACCGAAATAATCGCAGTGATTGAGTCATCTTCTCAAATTCTCTTGCTTTTCTATGTCCCTTTTGAATAACCTCCTCTGGAAGATTAGCAAGCCTTGCTGCATTAAAGCCGTAGCTTTTAGGACAAGCTCCCTTAATGAATTTATAGAGGAAGGTAATAGTCTCCTGGCTGGGATCCTCACATTCATTTTCTACCATGCATGCCTAAAAAGGAAAATATTTTATTATGCTGTGTTCAGGTGCTAGCAGTGGACATACCTGCCTTGATTCCCTCAAATCTAAACTTCTGAAAGCAGTTTATACATACCATGTGGCCCAGGCGCACTGCAACATTTTGAGAATAATCTTCTACTAATGAATGGTAGTGGGTAGAGAACAATGTACGACACTTTATGTTCTCAGCAAGTTCTTTAACAACTGCATTTGCTATTGCTGTTCCATCAAATGTTGCAGTACCTCTCCCTATGAAGGTAAAATATGCATAAATTATATATCTGCCTTAATACCACAAAGGAATGAAAAGGCGGGCAGGGTGGGGGAGGATAAAATAGTAACAATTAGTGCATCCAAATAATAGACCCCGTTTAGCTAAACATCCACTTACCAGCCCTGGGAGTAGGGTATATTCTATTTTTAAAGATTTCATTTTTAATTAATCTCTACAACCCAACATGGGGCTCCAACTTAAAACCCTGAGGTGAAGAGTCACACATTCTACCGACTGAGCCAGCCAGACACCCCTGCATTTCTTTTTCTTTTTTTAAAGAGTGCTCTCTTTCAGGTACCACTGATCTTCAGAAATGTCCTATTAGTTTCTCATTAAATGATAACTATTTTAATAGGACGAAATTTAGAGCCTTGTAATCAAAGACTGTTTTTAATATTATCTGTTATCTTCCAGTATGGGTCTGAATGGCACTAGAGGTGGGTCTATGGCACTAGAGGTAAATGCTTTCAGACTTTTTAAAAAGAAAGGGCCAATCATCTTCAAGAAAAATTAGAGTTTTAAAAAAAAATTCTAATTTTTAAAAAAAAATTTTAATTTTAATGGAAATTGGAATGTCTTACCCAATTCATCCACAAGGACCAGAGAATGTGCTGTTGCATGTGTAAGTATGCTGGCAGTTTCACTCAATTCAACAAAGAACGTACTTTCACCTAAAAAAAAAAACACACAAAGACACACACAACATACTACTAAATAGAACTAGAATACTGAAGTAGTGTGTTCATCTTTTTGGTTCATATCATGAGCTACCCAGTACTAAAGGTTACATCTCATTAAGAGATAATGCAGTTCTTGCTTGAAGAAAGAATATTTTCAAATGCCTGAAAAGTACTCCACTCTGTGTAACAGGAAAAATCAAACATCAAATTTAATGGCTGGTACACATTTCAAGGCAGACGTATTTATCGTACAAAATGTAGAAATGAACAGGCCAATAATAAAAGCCTTAGGTGAAAAAAGAAAACTCACCTGACATTATTCTGTCGGAGGCACCAAGTCTAGTAAATACTCTGTCAATTGGTGTGAGCCTACATACTTCAGCAGGTATGTAACAACCCGTTTGGGCCATTACAGCTAATAGGCCAGCCTGTGAAGGAAGGAGGAAAAAAGGTCTTTACTAATTGGTATTAAAGAAAAACATAGATACACATCATTTATGTAGTAGTCAGGCACTCTTAAAAACCGTTCACAATCCAAAGCAGGTAAAGTGAAGCCTAGAAAAGCAAGAGGCTTAGAACCTAACTGGCCTTAAAACTGCAAAGCCTGTGAGATTTTAACCCACTGCATTAGTGGTCTCACCATTGGCTGACTACACAGTACAATCACTTGGGAGCTCTTTAAAATTACTGATGCCTAGGGGCGCCTGGGTGGCTCAGTGGTTAAAGCCTCTGCCTTCGGCTCAGGTCATGATCTCAGGGTCCTGGGATCAAGTCCCACATCGGGCTCTCTGCTCAGCAGGGAGCCTGCCTCCTCCTGTCTCTCTGCCTGCCTCTCTGCCTACTTGTGATCTGTCAAATTAAAATAAATAAATAAATAAAAATAATAAAATTACTGATGCCTAGAACCAATTCCAGACCAAATGTATCAATCTGGGTCAGTGGAACCCTATCTGTACTTTGTCAAGCTCTCCCAAGTGATACAAAAAAATGAAAATGGGATTGAAGACTACTGCCTCTTGCTAGTTAGTGAATTTGGTGAACCTAAGTATAAATATAGGAGAGCAGGGGGGTTGGCAAATATTTTTAGTCAAGGGCCGTCTCTGTCACATTTTTTTCCTTTCTAACCCTTTAAAAAATGTAAATCATTTTTAGCTTAGTGGCTGGCCAACCCCTGGTATAAAAAGATATATTTATTGTCTTTCCTGAAAGCAGTTTCCAAAGGTTAATGGTCATGAATTCTATTTGCTCTCCTACTTGAACAAGTCTGTCACGGTTCTTTTATAAGGATTCCCACAAATGAGTCTGAGTAACACACCTCCAACATTTTCATTCATTATGGATACATCTACCTTCAGAGGAAAGGAATCCAATCAAGTCAGAGTTTGTAAATAAGTCATAAGCTGAAATCTCTCAGATTTTTAATGTATGCTCCCCATTAACATGAGCAGATACTTGATAAAGGTAAATACAATTCTCAGTTTTACAATACAAAGCATTTTTCCTTTGCTTCCTAGTATGCTGGTGACTGAATTCTATATAATCTATGTGCTATTTGGAAAAGGGTGGCCTGAATATGTAATATATTCCCAAAGTATACAAATGACTTTGTGTACCTTAAGGTTCAGTTTACCTGTCTCATGAGCGTAGACTTGCCCCCCATATTAGGTCCAGTAACAAGCACACAGTAAGCTTTGCCATTTTCCTCCTCTTCCTCACAGCCTATTAGAATGTCATTAGGTATAAAGTCATCTCCAAAAAAAGTCTTCGTGATGCAGGGATGACGTGATCCTCTAAGGTCTAAGAAAGGAGGAGTGCCTTCTTCTGGCAAGAGAATTACTGGACGACACATAGGGCCATCACCCCCTCGACTGTAGTTAGCCAGGCACAGTAAGACATCTGTTAAAGAGAGTGTAAAAGTGAGGCTTCATTTTTGAAGCTGCTTAAGAAGCACAAAGATCCAACTAATTAATATAAAAAGTCTTTCAAAAACACTTTTCCAGCGGAGGATGGTATGTTCTAGTTGCTTTTTATACATTTTTTTTTTTTCTAACAGGCACTCTAGAACACATAAAATGCTTTAATGCGTTCATTAACAGAAAATGAGCCACCAGCCTAAATGTTTCTATGTGTCTTCATGGGAGCACTTGTAGTGAAATGAGAACTCATTTTCATCCCAAAATCTCTCCCCTCAAAACAAGACCCCCTAACATCTGGACCAGAGGAATGCCAAGGGTAATAAGCAAAGAGATACTGGGGAAATGCTAGACTGACCGCTTTTACTTGACCTAATCCTGGAGCTAACACTTCTTAGAAGTGGAATATTAACACAACAGGCACACTGATACAAAAGCATCTTTAGAGGAAAATAAATTCACCAATTTTGAAAACCTGTCCTGAGGGACACTTTACCCACCAAACTGCTCAAAGCTGTATTGGTTTAAGGAATGAATGTGGTACAAACCAAAGGATACTATTCAATTCTAGACAGTTGTATTCAGATCAAAAAAGTTCTTTTACAAATTTGGGTAGTTACTGTATATATTTTTTTAAGATTTTATTTATTTCACAGAGAGAGAGAGATCACAAGTAGGCAAAGAGGAAAGGAAGCAGGCTCCCTGCTGAGCAGAGAGCCCGATGTGGGGCTCGATCCCAGGACCCTGAGACCATGACCTGAGCCGAAGGCAGAGGCTTAACCCACTGAGCCACCCAGGCGCCCCTAGTTATTCTATTTTTAAAACACAGGGGAAAAAAAAACCTAAACTGTGAAACACCAAAGGCTCCAAGTATGTTGGAAATTTAAGGGGAAAAAGTATTTATGAAATTGAAAAGGTTGCCAAATTATAAATATATAAATCAGGGCTCTTAGAAATCAGTTATAAGAAAGAATGTGATGATCTGGGCTAAGAGAAAAAAGATTAAAATCTTGAAGTATATGCATGTAAAGAGATCAACTGAAAATACAAGAAGTGGTGATGGGCCAAAATATAGTTTTAACTTATTCTAACAAAAATGAGAAGCTTAAAAAAAACCCAGGGGCACCTGGGTGGCTGAGTAGTTAAGCTTCCGCCTTTGGCTCAGGTCATGATCCGGAGCCCCACATCCGGTTCCCTGCTTGGCAGGGAGCCTGCTTCTCGCTCTCCCTGTGCTGTCAAATAAATAAAATCTTTAAAAAACAAAAAAATCAGGATCATGATACTAAGGGTACTAAAATCTGGGGTGCCAGAGTGGCTCAGTCAGTGGAGCATCCAGAACATAGGACTCTTATCTCCGCTTAGGTCCTAATCTCAGGGCCCTGAGTTCAAGCCCTGAATTAAAAACAAAACAAAATCCCCTGCTTTTTAAAAAACAAAAAACTAGGGGAGCCTGGGTGGCTCAGTGGGTTAAAGCCTCTGCCTTCGGCTCAGGTCATGAT